ATGAGGTGTTTAGCTGGTTGGTATTTATTTTTGATGATTTCAAGAGTTTCTTTTATCGGGACTTGAGTGAATAGTGAAACCACATCGAAACTTACAAGCAGATCTTCTTGTTCCACGTGTAGATCTTTGATCATTTCCAAGAAGTGGTATGAGTTTTGTACATGTGAAGCTGTTGTTTCAGCATGGAGCTGTAGCTGTTTTGCTAAGTGTTTAGCTAGGTTTTGTAGTGGTGCTCCTCTGGAGCTGACTATGGGTCTGAGAGGTATGCCTTCTTTGTGTATTTTTGGGAGGCCTTATAGTTTGGGGCATCTGGAAGATTTTTCTCTTGGGATGATCGTCTGTTGGATCTCTTTGCTCATGTGGCTGGTTATAATTTTCGTCTTGAAAATTTTTCCAGATATGTGGTTGGGTCCGTGTTCATGGGTTTGTATGTGGAATCTTGGAGTAGGTCTGTCAATTTTGTTTCGTAGTCTTTTCTATTCATTCTATATTCATTTCTATAAATTTCTATAAATTTATATTCATTTCTATAAAATTGACAGTCTGGTGGAATCATCTCTTCTATAATAGCAATAATAGATAATAGAAGAGATGATTCTATAATAGAAGAGATGCCTGATGATGGCAGATGAGATTCTGCTGAAACGTTGCTACAACTTTAAAAGAACAACTACAATGACGTGGGAAAATACCCGAACAAAGCCGAAGGCCATACATGTAAGTACCCGCGAAAACTTAATATATATATATATATATATCTTTATATATCTAATATATATATATATATATCTTTGGTTATTCGGGTTTTCTCCCGCGTAAGATTTGAAGTATCTAGGCAACGTTTTGATGAAGTCTCATTCATCATCTTCAGCCTTGTGTCTTCCGCTCTGTGCTTCTCAGAGTGATGTGAGCTTGCAGCTGCTTCTTCCTTTTAACTGCTAGTGGGGGTGTGACTTGATTGAGTGGGGGCTTGGCTGTGTTCTGATTGGGTGGGGGTGTGTTCTCATTGGTTGGGGGGTTGGCTGTGTTCTGATTGGTTGGGGGTTTGGCTGTGTTCTGATTGGCTGGAGGTGTGTTCTGTTCAGGTGGGGGCTTGGTTGTGCTCAGGTTAGTCTTAGTTGCTGGGGGATTTGAGCTGGTGAGCTGTGATACTTCAAATCTTACGCGGGAGAGAACCCGAATAACCAAAGATCCACATACAAATACCCGCGAGAACCTCAGAAAACAAATATATATATATATATATATATATATATATATATATGTATATATATATATATATATATATATGTGTGTGTGTGTGTGTGTGTGTGTGTGTTTGTGTGTGTGTGTGTGTGCGTGTGTGTGCGTGTGCGCGTGTGTTAGTATGTACAATGTTATGTAGATTTAATTCCCATTAAACTAAGTTGGTTTATTTTAGGGAAATAGATGCAGGAATGACAAATGCAAATTTAAAATACCATCTCATTATGGTCCTTCAGTATTGTTATCATAATCCTTGTGATATTTTTAGTTTTAAATTGTAAATTAATTTCTGTTTCTTTCAAAGGCAAGCGTTCAGTATGCTACTGTTCATCAGAAATATTTGGAAGTGCAAATGTTGCATGAAGAAATAAAAGAAGAATGTGAAGCAAAAAGACTATATATGTTTGAGCAAATAGAAGCTGATGAGACTACATTAAACCAGCTTAGGTAAGTATATTTTAACTTTTTAAGATAATTATTCTTCAGGAAATTTCCATTTATACATAAAAAAACTTGAGTTTCAGTATAACGGATCTTGATTCTTTTTGAAAGTTATGTTGTACTTATATAAAGAATACATATATTATTCTGTTCAATCTTGTCTAATTCTCAGAGATTGCTTGGTCAAGTCCCTGCAATGTTTTTCAGGCAAAAAATTGTTGGTTTGAGAGAATAGGAGAAATAGTAGAACTTTTGCTAAAGGGAGGAGAAGAAGTAATTGGTAAGGATTAATTAAGGTATTAATTTAAGCTAATATGTAATACAGGCAAAGCTTGTAGAATTTTCTTGTAGCCAGAAATGAAGAATGGGTTCTGGAAGATTAAAAAAAAAACAACTATCTTGCACTTTGTGCAGGAGGGAGGAAAGGCATAAGGAAGGTGGGCTAGTAGATCTTGTCATGCTGACTTATTGACAGCAGTTGAAGGGAGAGGAAGTAAGTTAGTCCAGTAGGTCAAGTTGGTTGCTACTGAGGGGATGAAGAGAAAGAAGGAGAAATACGTACCAGTTTTGTCCTTCCATCCCTTCCTTCATCTGCCACAGTTGATGTTTTTGGCTGTTCCTAGCTTTTCCCCTTCTCTGAAAGATCCATGCATCCACTTTGTTCAATGCATGAACCAATATATTTCAAATATATGTTTCATTTCAGGCATGAACCAGCCAAAGATAACTGTTTTATGTATGGAATGTTTTGGGCATTCCTAGTTACTATATAGAAAAAAAGTGTCTTTTATCAGTGATAGCACTCATAATTTAGGTAATATTTCTAATTACAACAATTCTCTGACTTGGAAGCATAGCTTCTGTGTTTATGAGATATTACAGTTATAGTTTTGCATCTAGCAGTTCTCCTTAATTATTGCAGATTATCAAAATAAGGAATTTACAATCAGAAATTCCTCACCATAGTGAAAATGAAGTTGTGATGAATTTTTGGATTGGATCCTATCTACTAGGAGCAGAATTCTGCTCGTGGAACAGGGCTTTCTTCCTGTCCTTTCTTGCTGCAGTTTTTTTCAGTAGCAAAAAAGTCCCTACCCCTGTATTTTGGAGGCTCCTCTACAAAAGAAAGAAGAGGAATCACTAAGTATTGGTTGCAGGCCATTATATGAAGAGAAGTTAATTTATCTTCCTAGAATATTGGCAGATATTTTAAGATCTAGAAATACTTCTACCTTTCTATGGCACTTTTTAGAATATAAAATAGTTAGTGAGCAGGCTCAGTATTTCTGCTGTACTCCCTGTCTTCTTTTATTAGCTTCCAATATACAGTATAATGCTAAACACTGTTATGCTGCAAAAATATTGTATTGGCTAAATTGACTGACAAGCTAAGATAGTAGAAATCTGTGGGCTGCATATTACATGGAAATAAATGAAATGTACATGAATGCTGGATATCAGAACTTGAGAAAGTACTGTTGCTATATTTACTAATGGTACAAAAGATAACTGCAGTTATAAAGAGATTGATGGTACTGCAAGTATAACAATAAATGTTCACTTGATCTTTAATTCATTTGGAGAAATAGATAATTTATTCTTGCTGCTTTTTAGGGATGAGTTAAAAGAAACTGATGAGTTTTATGCTGACACCAATAACAAGATACATAGATTGAGGGAGGAAATACTGGAAAATGAAAATCACCTTGCAGAACTAATCAAGCAAGAAGCAGATACAAGAACTGACTTAAATTCTTGGCGTGATAAAGTGAGTTTTAAATATTAAGTGCAAAGCATGAAAATTTCAAAAATACAGTAGCACATGAAATACTACCATTATATCTACTAAAAACTTAGGCAACTTGCAATCAACTAATGTGTTACATAGTTCAGTTAAAAATCACATACATTCTATTTTGCACATTCCAACATCAGTATCCAGCAGGTTTTAGCAGCAGGTTTTAGCAACAGATCCCAACAGGTTCCATTAGGATTAAATCAACCTTGTTTTACCTCTCCTCAGGATAGCTACTATTAAGTTGTTATGTATGACTGATAATTAAGGACACAGACTTATTTATGGAATTCTATTTAATGACACTTCCTGGTAAATGTTTACAGGAATATACATTTAGTCCTTATAATTTTGATATCAATATAATTTGTATTGCTATTGGAACTGTTCCTATGAATGGAAAGCTAAAATGGCCTTTCAGTAATGAGAAGCAACACACAATTATTTCCTTTTCTCCTTGCTCTACAGAGCTGAGAGAACTCACCTGAATAATATAAGAAGGAGCTCCATGAGGAAAGAAAGCTGACAAGCTCCACAGTTCACTTACAAGCACCTTTTCTCACTTTGTCAATGTTCTTCTGTGAAACAAAACAGGGACAATTCAGGTTTCAAGATAGGTGCAAACATATGTTTGTATCAACTGATAAACTTATCTGGTCCAGCATTCTGTTTCCCCAGTGGCAAACCAGATGTGTTTCATGTCATTTGTCCATAAGCACAGTAATACTGGCTCATTCATGTTGCTCAGCAACTGTCTTTCAAAGGCATATCAGACCTTGAAGAACTGAGAAAGGTCCAGAAGCGTTTTTAAAGTAACCAAGAAGCTTGAGCAATTATCTGTGAGAAACTTTATAACTTCAGGAACACTTCAGCTTACAACAAATGTAGATCAAGAGATTTATACACATACAATTTTTGTGATAATGTATAAAATTATGTATCATGTAAAGAAATTATATATGAATAAAGAAAATATCTATAAAAACTGGGGTCATCGAATAAAGCTAAATAGTGAGAGATTCAAAACCGAGGAAAGGAAATTGTTCAAATAATAGAATTCTCTTATTTTTTTTAAAATTATGATAATGCTATCATGAAATACATTTATAATATTGTTTCAAATAAATGTTAATTAAATAATGTATTTTTAATATTAGGAAAGGCGTTTGAAGTTGAAAATTTCAAGACAAGAAAGTGAAAACAAACAATTGCTAGATGAGTTTTTGAAAGAGATGAAAGTTATGGAAGGCTCAGTAAGTTTTAGAATTCATATATTTAAAATGTTTTTCCTTTCAACTTATGCCTTATTAAATTGCGTATTTTCATAATTATTTATATGCTATCTGTAGAAATCCAATAAAGAATATGATCTACAAAAACTGAAGGATAAGCTTGCAAATGATCTTCAGCAGTTCACTAGTTTGCAAAATGAAATCCAATATCTTAAAAATGAAAATGCTGAATTTATGTTCAAATTCAGAGACAGGTAAGTGGCACTGTGTTAATGTCCAATAAGCTTACATTCTGAATAACCCCAATTCAACAGTATTTTATTTTTAGTCTTTTTATTCTCACTAAAGACATAACGCATTTGAGTTGTATATAAATTAATTTGGAGAGATTAGATTATTTATGCTGAACTTTATATTTAATTAAATATATATTTAATTTATATGCAGAAAATTACCAGTGAGATAAAGGAAAATACAATGAAGGTACATACACATAAGTGTAAAAGGAAGTTGAAGAAAGATAGTATGGATAATATTTATATCTTAATAGAAGAAACATAGAACAAGGTAACAGAAATGGAGCTGTTAGATTTTAGAGAAATATGTTAGGCATAACAAGTGGGATATGATTATCTAATATTAAAATTGGTGCCACTTTGCATATCAAAATGTCAAACTACAAATCATAACAAAGCAACTAATTTGCTAAACCATTATCTAAGAAAAATGTTCCCAAGTTTTGCTTCTATATTAGAGGAATTAGTGTAATATTTGAAAAAGAGACAGTTGTAATATCACTTGTTTAATTATCAGGAAATAATTCAGGAAAATACAGGATGTCTATTCTGAATAAATTAGTGTAAACCATTATTAAAGATAAAATTATCAAAACAGAGTTATGCATGAATATGTTTAATGAAATTAGTCAATAGTTTATATGTTTTGCTGAGGCATGGCTTGTTTTAACCATACTTTGTTAAAAATGCTGCAATGGGGGATTAATGCATACTTTTAAGGCATATACAAGGGTTCAGTACTATTGTGCGAGAACAATTCTGGGGGAAATTAGCCACTACAACAATAAACCTCCTTGTTCTTAGGCTAATAATTGTATTACACTTCAGCACAACTGTTCAAATAAAGATAACACCTTGGTGATTTAACTAAACCTATTTTCACTAGCAAAAATGTAAAGCAAGGCTATTTCCTTACCCCACTATCATTCAACTTTAACATTAACAATATTGTTGTGATCTTTGCTAAGCCAGAATTCTATCTTCCTTCTCTTGCCCACTGGCTCATTTTTGTTCTTCTTTATGCTGATGTTGCAGCCTAAGGTTATGTCTTTAACTAAGTAAGCCTCAAAGATGCCTTAAAGTGCTCTCACTTTACTGCTTTAGTGAAAACCATCAAATAAATTATTCTATCTCATACAAAAGTAATGATATTCTATAGGAAACACTTAAATGCCCCAGTTAGATGAATGATCAGCAATAAGAATATCAAATATCTAAAAATCTAAGTGTCTGTTTTCAATGTTCTCTTCCAACCTAAGAAGACATATTAGTGACAATTTAATGTGGTTAAGTCTAACATCTTTATTACTGTGCCATGTAACATTTCTCAGCTATTTATAAAAGCCAAACTCTTGGTGATTCCTGGTAAATTTTTGCTCAAATGGTTTTCTTGACAATAAGACCAAAATGCCTTCTGCTAAGATGTTTTTTCAAATTTCTAGTTTAGCCTATAGTTCTTCCATAATCATGTCCAGCCTGATTAGCATTTGAAGATGAAGGTTCTAACTTTCTCCACAACAAATAATGGTTACATTAATAATGGTAAATACTGTTTTATTCTCTTTTTTGTTTACTCTATAAATATATTAAAAAATAAATTTGTATTATGTGAGTGAACTCCCAATTATGAAAGATGAAGCAAACTGTAGCATTTCTTTATAAAAGCATAACAAAAAAACAACAACGCATAACGCAGCCTTTCTAAACTATTGAAAAAGTGCTAATATTGTAAGCAGTTTTTACATTTGTTTTAAACAGTGCAAGAAGGAAAATGGGATACCAATCAGAAATTCAGGTTTTGCAGAAAAATATTCGTAGGCTGGAAGAACATTTAAAAAAAGTAAATAAAGACCTTTATGCTGCTGAAATGGCTTATGACGACGCCAAAACAAAACTGGAGGATCTGAATGAAGGCATTGTTAAAGAAAAATCACGTTTCAAGGTTGTTTACTACTACTGAATTCATATTATGTTTAATTATAAGATGTTAAATTATTGCATTGAACAAAATAGAATATTACTGCATTAATCGAATTTTGTATTTAAAGAAATTGTTTTTTCTCAAAAAAAGTTTTCAGTAATATTTATTTTATTTCTGTGAAAAACTTCATATCTGATTTTTTTCTAGTTTCAGAAGCTTGCTGGGTCACTTTTTCTAGTATTTTCCACTTTTTATACTTGTCCTTTTTGTCTTTCAATTTATCAAAGAATTCTTTATGCAGCCATGTTGGTTTCTTTTGAGAGCTGTTATTTTTCTTCTTCATTGGTATTGTGCTAGACTAGGCTCATATAATCTCACTTTTCAAAATTTCCCAAGCTTCTTGAGTTATTTTCTCCTTGAGGATTCTCATCCATGGAATCCTTCCCAAGCTCTCTCTAACTTTATTGAATCAGCTTTCTTCAAGTCCAAGACTCTTATTAAAGTCCAAGACTCTAAAGAGAAAGACATGATATATATGAAAGAAACTAGAATAATTTTTAATTGGGTCATGATCAAACTGCTATCCCACAATCATTAAGAAATATTAGTAACTAAATAAAGAGCCAGTTTAGTGTAGTGATTAAGGTGCTGGTCTAGAATCCAGGAGACAGTTCTAATCCTGCCTTAAGCATGAAAACCAGCTGTGTGACTTTGGGCCAGTCACTTTCTCTCAGTCCTACCAGCCTCACAGGGTTGTTATTGTGAGAAAAAACAGGAGAAGGGAAGAATACTAGGTATGTTGAGTTTCGAATAAAATAATAAAGATAGGATAAAATAAATAAATAAGAAGGGGAATGCTTTTTACTATAGTGATTTCTTCTCTTTGCAACACTATACTAGTCTGATACTGTTCCAAATAATGTGTCAATTTCCTTGTTCTCCAGGACAAATTTTAAAATGTTTGGGTAATTACAAAAGAAATAAGCAATGTTTGATTGCCTGCTTCTTAAGGCTAAGACAGAATGACTGGCCCCGAGTCACCTGGTTTCCAGGCCAGCACCTTAACCATTACACCAAACTGACTGTCTCTGACAAATTATTCTAATTATTTTCATAGAAGAGTTCAATCAGTGGAAGATAAGCTATAGAAGTTCTAGCACTTGCATTATTGAGACACTCTGTAATATCACTTACCCTTCCACCAGTAAACATTGGACATTTCGGTTTCTTTTTGAGTTGCATTTTCTTCCTGGAGCTACTCATATTGGTGGTGGGTGGGGGAGGGAGAAACAGAAACAAAAGGATCAGTTAGAATGCTTCATTAAAGCAATCCTGTAATATGGAATTAATAGTTAAAACTATGTAGAAATAGTGACCCAAAAGTTAAGAATGCTACAGCCAGCCTTTAAAGAGCATATGTTAATGGAATACTTAAATTGGTCAGTTACAAAAGCAATCCAATCCATCTGATTATAATACATATATAATAATCTGATTGCAGATCATTTATTTTGTGGTAGTTTCTGTACTTTTTTTGTCTACTCCTATTGATTGCAATTGTTCTATTTATGTTATAGAATTTGGAAGAGAATATTAAAAAACAAATTAGAGATGAAATAAGTGCTTGGAAGCTGACTCAGGTAAGGAAAATAACTTTTAAAATATTCATTCAGAATTTATTTATTTTTTAAAATTATATTCACACAACCTCTTTTGTATAATTTATAGCATGATGTATGGGAAGATAACTTGAATGCTAAGCTATACATAGATAGCATTAAAATCATTTTACTATACTAAGGGTACTTCAAGAAAGAACTTACACAAAGCTGTTTCTTGGGTGTCTACTTTTCTTGCCTCGCAGTGGGGGCAACCATCAGCCCTAGATGACCATATGATCTAATTGTATCTTTCTTTGTTAATCCTTTTTTAATTAATGCAATATTAGTACATCTCTTTTTTCACTCTATCCCCTGCAGTCAATTTAAAATTTTATTAGATTGAGCCCTAGTGTAAAAATACGTCTCCCTTTAGTTTAAGTACTTCAGTAAATGTTTTATAATTTTTTTATTTTATAAACAGAAAAGAATTAAAGCACTACAAGCAGAGTTAGAAAGAAAGAAAAAGGAGCATAGCAAATTAGAGGAAAAGATGAAGAGTAAATTAAAAAAATATGAGCTGCATTCAGCTGAACAAATAGAAATACTGGAAAAAAATAAAGATGTGCTCAAAGAACTTCTTGAGGTAACTAAATAAGAACAAGACAAAATGTTGCTCCATTATACTTCCTTTGTTAAGTGCTTTTGCATTTCTTTCACAGAATATAGTGTAACACAAATTGGCATTTGGAATAAATCAACATGTCAATATGAAATTAAATGTAAAATAACTTCTCTATGGTTATAATGGCTTCAGTGATATGAAAAAAAAGAGACTGAAATAATTATATTTTCAAAATGGCACATTAATGGCAGTGAGTAATGCTATCAGCTCTTCTCCAAGGGACAAAACCAGTGGTGGGATTCAATTTTTTTTACTATTGGTTCTGTGGGCGTGGCTTATTTGGTGAGTGTGGCTTGGTGTCATGTGACTAGGTGTGCATGCTTGGTGGTCATGTGATTGGGTGGGCATGGCCAACTCAATATCACTCAAGTAAAGGGGTGCCTCGCCTGGCCCTCACCTCCCAGCCATTCCTTTTCACACCCAGCCTCAACATATCTATAGTTCTGTAAAAATGTTGTTCACCATTTTTTGACTTTATTGTCTACATACTATAGATGTACTTTCATGGACCACTGAAAGGAAATGGCTCACATGCTTTGCCCAAGGGTGTGATAGGCAACAGGCTTTTAAGGGGCTGCCACAAAGAAGGTGGGGGGGCAATATATTTTTCCAAAGAAGCAGAATGCAAACAAGAAGCAATGGATGGAAACTGAACAAAGAGAGAAGCAATCTAAAACTAGGGAGAAACTTCCTGACAGTGAGAACAATTAACCAGTGGACCTGCTTGTTTCCAGAAGTCCTGGGTGCTCAATCAATGGAAGTTTTTCAGAAAAGACCAGACAGCCATTTCTCTGAAATGGTATAGGTCCCTCAAGGTCCCTCTAGGTGTTATTCTGTTATGCTGATACTTTCTCAGGACCTCTACTCAAATTTATTTCATAATTTCACATATAAAATAACCATTTGTGTAATAAAACCTGCATATTGTTCAAAACAGTAATTATTATGGCTGATGTTTGACAGCAAGCCTAAAAGTCAAAGATAACAAGAGTGCTTCTTTCTCTGTATGTATACAAAATGGCATATTTATGCTCTGGACTAGACATTGAATGCATGTAAATCCCTGAAAAATATGTGGTAGCCCTGGGCAAAAGAAAAACAGTAAAATCACTCTAGATGTAGGAACAGTGTAAAATATTAACACATGATAAATAATGAAACAATTAAAAATAATAGCACAGAGTTTTCTCTCTCTTTCTTTCCCTTCCTATTTCTTTTTCTTTCTCTCTTTCTTCCTCTTTCTTTCTTTTTTGTTTTTCTTTCTTTCGTATGTCTCTCTCTCTCAGACACACACCCCACTCTCTTCCTATTTCTTTCATTTCTTTCTCTCTCTTTCTTTCTCTCTCTTTCTTTCTCTCCCTTCCTCTTTCCTTCTCTTTCTCTTTCTCTCTCTCTCTCTTACACACACACACACACACACACACACACAAACACACACCTGGTCTGGGATGAAGTAAATGATCCCGCGAGCTCCAGTCAGCAGCAAATGGCGGGAAAAGGAAGAAAGTGGGTGGCACACCCTCCCAAAGACTTCCAGTGGCCACTTGCTTTATTTCTGAGGGGAGGTTATGGTGGGGCCATGGAGTACCCCTCCACTCCAGCCCTCCCAAAATACCTCCATGGACGGCAGCAGTGGCAGGACCATCCTCCCTCTCTCCCAAAGACCTCTGGCAGCCGCTTGTATTATTTATGAGAGGAGGTGGGGGGGACTGTGGAGCACCCCCCCCACACACACTCCAGTCCTCCCAAAGCACCTCTGCGGATGGCAGCAATGGCAGCAGCACCTGCCTGCCCTCCCAAAGACCTCCAGCAGACGTTTGCATTATTTCTGAGAGGAGGGGGTGGCAGGGCCGTGGAGCACCCCACCCACTCCAGCCGTCTCAAAGCACCTCCGCAGATGGCATCAACAGCAGGAGCATCCGCCCTCCCTCCCAAAGACCGTCCGGTGGCTGTTTGCATTATTTTTGAGGGGAGGTGGTGGTGGGGCTGTGGAGCACCCCCCCTCCACTCCAGTCCTCCCAAAGCACCTCTGTGGATGGCGCAAGTGGCAGCAGCATCCACCCTCCCTCTCAAAGACCTCTGGCAGCTGCTTGTTTTCTTGCAGGTGCGGCATCAGGAGGGCAGGGCAGGGTGGGTGGATGTCCCAGCCAGGGCTGCACATGCAATGTGCAATTTTCAGCAACCACGGCTGGGACACCCACCCACCCTCGCTGCACCATGGCCGCCACATGGTAGGAAAAGCTGAGAAAGCACCACATGAGATGGAGCCTCGCCGGCTTAGCCAGCCAGCCGAGCCCAGGGATGGGAGGGCCTGGAAAAGTCCAGGGATGGTAGAGAAAGGCCAGAAATGTCTGGGGACAGTATGGAAGGCCTACAAAAGTTCGGGGATGGTGGGGGAGGACTAGCGTGACTCGCAGGCTTACCTGTGAGCAGGATGCAGGAAGATCAGGACTGCTCAGTTGGGGCTCAGGCACCATATGGGAAGGCAAGACCCAGGAGGGGAGGAGTGACTGGGTGGGGTGAGTGGCAGGCAGGTGGTCAGGGTGGTCGGGGTGAACGATCATCAGGCGGGCGGGGCAAGTGAGTGAGCAGGGCAAGCGAGTGAGCAGAAACCGGGCGACCGGGTCGGGGGCATGGCCAGCCAGATGTTGCTACCAGTTCGGCGACCCACGCCAAATTCTTGCTACCAATTCGCCTGAACCGGTGCGAACCAGCTGAATACCACCACTGGACAAAACTCAGTAGAATCAATGTAATAAAGACCAAAAGGCTTATTGGTAATGTGGGAGGAATTGTACATGTTTTTTACTTGTAAATATGTTTTAGTGAAAACCAGTATTACATAAGTATCCTCATACTAAGAGTAAAACTTTTTATATTTGGTTACTTAATTGTTAATTTAAAATGTCCATCACTAAGGTCAGTGCCATCTTCTATATTCCATAGCTTCTGGATTTTATTGGGGTCTAGGAATCTGAGCTGCTAAATTATTAGCTCAGCTTACTCCAGAGGAAACACTGCAGTTTTGCAGCTACTATCTCCAAGAGGTGGAGTGAATGACATTCTACTGGTGGGAACTTTTCACTGATCCATCTGCTCAGCTCTAGTGATTTTCCCCATCTTTCCTGTAGCCATGATAACTTGCCAGGCTCCTCTATCTTCCTCAGGCATTCTGAGGGATGGCTTTATCATTTTCTTTACACTCTGGCAAGTTTTGTCCTCCCCTCTCACACACATACATTGAAATGATAAGAGAAGATGAAAGTTACCAGTTGCCAGTTAGTTCACGGCTTGTTTCTGTATCTTTCTTTTTACCATCTGGAGGGAGCAATTGACTGACTCTATGGATGAATAAAGTTCAGTAGTGGGAACATTGGATAGAACTGTTGCTAAGGATTTGAGAGAGCTGGCCAATGACCTGACCGGTGATAAAGTTTAGTAACAAATGTATCAAACTTCATTTTGATTAGATTCTATTACTCTTTTTTGGTCTGCATTATTATTTTTCAGAAAATAGCTGAATTAAATCAGAAGATCAAAGAACTTGACGACAAGGAGGGAAATGTGAAAAACGAATTAGAAAATAAGAAGAAAAATGTTAAGGACCTATTAGATGATAAAAAGGTGAACATGTTAATATTAGCATTAATAAGTTTTGTTTATTTTCAAATGCTAAACATGCTTGTCCTCACTTATCTTGAATATATCTAAACCTTTCTGTATGGAGTATAGTATTCCTATCCCTTTCTTAAATGAACCTAATCATATCCTAAATCTTGAGATAGAATAACATACAAATTCATGTTGGGTTACGTTCTATTTCTTTATTATGAATGTAGTAGATTCATAATATTGGGGGGCTTTGAAGAAAGGAAGGTAAAAATCAGTATGAGGAAGAAAAAGTATTCAACTCTGATAGAAATAGCCTGCTGATTATACCTTTGTACAGCAGATGGCATCTTTTTGTAAATTATAGTAGATCTTTAATACTGTAGTTGTCTATATTAGCAAACGAGATATTCTGGCTATTATTATGAATACTGTGTTTATATAAATGTATTTATAATTGCAGTTCTTTGTATAAAATGTCTTATGTGTATTATTGTTGTGTTGCATTGGTTTTTATTGTGCATATTTGTGAGTGATTGAGAAATTAATGTGGCTAACCAGGAGAGTTCACATCTATAATTTAATCAAAACAGTGCTTTTAATCTTACTCTAGAGTCCCTATTTCTTTTTTAAATAATAATAACAGCAGCACTGACAAAAGTCCCTTGCACTCATGGGTAATTGGGCAAAATGGAGAGTTACTGTATCACCTAATCCTAAAGTACAGTATAATGACAAATAAATAACTATAAAAGTAGTCAGGGAAATTGTACATCTGAACACCCTTCAACTTATCACCTTTACCTGATAAGAGAAATTAGGCAAAATAAAGAAATGGAATAACAAGTACTAAGCAATATAAATTAAATCAGGAGATAAGAGAAAAGGAAATCTAATTAAACATAGTTTATGTCAGTACTGTTCACAATGCATATCCATATCTTTCTATCCTTGCAAACTATCCTTGCTTCTACCATGTCTATGGATCAGTTGGAACAAATCAACCAGCTGCTTTGTTTCATATGGTGCCAAGATGATACAGTATCTTGCATTTCCTTTACAGGAAATTGTTCAAATAGAGCACCAACCCCCCCCCCCCCCAGCTCTCTTGTATTAACCATGTTAACTGAGAAAATACTTCCAGAACAACAATGAGAAAAATCAGATCTTAAGACAATAGTTGTTTGTTTATTTGTTTGTTTGTTTGCTTACTTACTGTGTTTCTCATATAATAAGGCCGGGTCTTATTTTTTTTTGAGCCCTGAAAAAATGGCTAGGCTGTCTTTTTGGGGGTGACTTAATTTCCCCCCCCTTGCATCTTCGGGCAGGTGGGCGGCGACGGCTGGGATGTTGACCTCGGCGTTGGTGGGGCACTTTGTATCAGGGTCAACGCAGGCAGCACCATATATCCGGGTGTGTAACAAAAGTACTTCCTAACAGCAAGCCCCCCCCGCCATTTGCCCCCCATTTCGCATGTTTTAATATAGGCCTTAATTTGGGGGGAGGAGCTTAATTTCTTTTCATGCCTCTAAAACATGCTGGGACTTCCTATTGGGGGAGGCTGTATTGTTGGAGAAACAGGGTACTAAATTTATTTATCACCCATCCCATTGTTAAGCAATGGGTGGTGTATAAAAGCACACGTCATAAAAGCAAAAATGCAAAACATTAAATCATTAAATATTAAAATTAACAGAAATTAGGTACAACGGGATGGGGATGGGGACGGGATCTTTTTCTTAACCCATTAACCATCTTCAGTATGGAATGTCTCCATCAAGGTCCAAAGCCAATCAACAGAACCAGGTTTTGAGGCTCTTTAGGAAGGTGAAGAGGAGGGGGATAGATCTCACC